TATAATCTGCATAAAAGATGCACATTACAGAATTTCTATAACACAAAAAAAGTCAAAACCGTAGTAGAAAACTAGTGCAAAATGATATTAATCACAGCATTAAACACCTTTCATGCCTGTTAGAAGGAAATGAAACCCCAGTACGTTCATATGGCATAATCATCAAGATGCACTGCTCAGTGAAAAGTGGAAATGTGGGGTTCTCAGCGCTGAATATTTTATAAAATATTTCGTGTATATAAGGTTAACATCTGTGGATCTGCTAAGATGGAACACATTTCTTCTTACTGATCTTTTGCCCACACATGTTTATTAGCTTAGCAACATAAAATTATTTTGTTCCATGTCTCTAAAAAGTATCAAAATGATTGAATCAATTAACTGAAGAGTGAAGTTTAAGGACTATCATAATCAGATTGATAATTTATACTCAGAAGACCCAGCTGTTTTATCCATTAGCAAGATTTATCAATACTTTCAAAGGTAACATACATATGACAAAGAGGTAAAATACACAAGGAAAAGCCCAGGACTGCTGATACAGGTCCCTAAGTACAATCCCACAATATGACTCTGGATCTCAGGAATGAATTAAAAGGTTGTGAGTAGGTGGTCATTTTCAGAGAAGGAGCTGACTAGATTATAAAACATTATATGATATTGAGAGGTTTATAGAGAGTGTAGCATTTTCCTAGAGGCCATCATTCACAAATCTAAATTTCCCAATTTTTACTATCCGTAATTCCAAACAACAGGGCATATTCTGCTAGCAGCATCCTGTAGAAAAAACATCCTTGCTATCAAAAACCTCCATTGTTTTTATATTTTTTTCTGTGCACTTACAATTAGTGAGTTGGAACGAGAATTATTTCAGGAGGTGAGAGAGGCACACACATGCACTATTGGTTATGTTTAGCTAGAGAATTTTATAAAGTATCCTAAAGATCTTATTTCTTAACTAGGCCTAAAGGGGTGTTGAAATTCAAATCACTTGAGTCTCCCGCATATGGTCACACTAGAAAATGGTAAATAAAAATGAAATCAATTCAGGAGCACAGTGACTATTGTCTGAACTACAGTTTGGGGCTCCAAATAGCAGAAAATAAGCCTGGCTCTCTAAGGTAGAAAAAATCTTATAAGAAAGATTTGAGGAATCTCAGAGAATACATAAAAAAGCTCCCTATCCAAGTTGAGAAAACGTACGGGAGTGAGACAGAGAGAAAATGCATTATCAAGCCACATATGCAGTTCCATTAAAATAGTGTTGCTTTCCCTATGACTGGAATCCAGCCAGTACCTGACTTTATGATCCTTTACTGTATGGGAATCTTCGAATCAATTTATTTTCAGAATACATAGTCACATCCATGACCCTGCTTTCAAGGCATGCAGAATGAATGAGCCCCATCTGGGGCTTTATTTAAGGCTGAGATGGAGTGTCTATCAAGATTCATTTACACAAATTTCCCCAAAATGAGAGTGATTATTTCTCAAAGAATTTATAATTCTACTCTGCTCATTACAACAAAAGTGCGACAAGGCAATATGGTTCTCTAAAACTCACCTGAAACATCAAAAAGCAGAATATATGAAAAAAGCTTTCCAAAACAAGTAGATATCAAGTATTTGGGGGCTTATAAGGAGAACAATATATAATACATAATTTATAGAATTATTTTATAACAGTCATCCCAAGAAACATGTACGAAAAGAGTGCAAGAAATGCAAAAGACTGGACGTGGTGATGTGCACCTGTACTTCCAGCTCTTGGGAGGCTGTAAACAGGCAGATCACTATGAGTCTGACCTAGTAGTGAGACCCTGAATATCCTATAGACCCATCCCTAAAAATATTTTTTTAAAAAGAAAGAAAAAAGAAACCTGTCAACATACTAAAGACCAGAGAATCCAGCTGAGGGCTTGCATCCCAAGACAAAGGGGACATGAGTCCGTCTGAAGACCCAGAGCCCTTAACCATGCCCCCCTCACAAGTCCTCCTGGAGAGAAAGAGCATATGACAATGTCTCATGCAGGCCTGTTTCACAGATCTACTCTGGTAAGGCCCAAAAGTCATTGGTTAAAGCTACAAAGTCTGTGCCAACAGGATGAAAGATCTATGCTAGGAGGCTGAGGAATTAGCCTTGGAACCAGAAAGCAATGCCCAAAGTAAAAACCAGAGCTCCTCACGAAAGTACCAAAGTCATCCTCAGCAACAGTGAGGTCTCAAGGATGACAACAGCCAAGTTCATCAGGAAAGCCAGCAAGACAAGCTCCTTCAGAACTAACTGCTCCCAACAGCTTCCTATAGCTCCCAACGGCTTCTCATCTTCTCTAGTTCTGCCTCTTATGCTGCTGGAAACAATGTGGTGGGCCTCCCACACCCAGCACCACTCTGGTTCAGTTCAGCTGGGTGCAACAAGTTGGCCACTGATTGTCAATCCACCACACCAAGCAATGAAAGACAATGATTTCTGAGAAACAGCAAACGAAAGGGATGAGGCATAGTGTTGCTCAGTTTACCAACTTAAGGAAGTCTCTAGACTACAGATCAGACAGGATGGAGCCCATGAGACTCCCTGAGTTCAGAAGGTAGGGTCCAGGGACCAGAAAATCAAATGTCTGTAGAGTATGAGGAAAGGAGTGGTGGATAGGTAGGAGCTGCATGGAACAAGAACTCCAGCATGGTGCAGAGCATTATCTGGGAGCACTTGCTGCCAATTTGTAAGCAAAGTGTAAGAGAAAACTACAGACATCATGGGAAGAATTATACCAAAGGAGACAGCGGTGAGCTGTCACATGATTTTGCCCCTTAAGTTTTGAGGAAATGTGCTACTCATTTATTGACTGTTATTTCAACTTGAACTTTTAGCTCATAGGTCTTCAGATTAACAAAGGTAGTATCCAAGGTGCTCATTCTTAGACATAATGTATATTACATTGTGATATTAAGATATTAAATTGGAAACTGGATAACATTACTGAATGAAAGTTTTGGTTGTCTTGGGAGGGCTGAATGTATTTTAAATATGGAAGAAAAACAAGAATTATAGCGGTCAAAGGATAATCTGAGTTCTGCAGCACTGACTCCCAGTGTTGCAAACTTTGCTGTAAACCACCTTTGAGTGGTTGTGTCTAATGTGGACTCTCAGTTTGGCTGCATAACTTGCTTTAGCCAGTGTGACAACAGCCCATATGATACCACCAAACAGGTAAGAACCACAAAAGCACAACAGTGCTTCCTCCCTCTTGATTCTGAATTCAGATTACCAGGATGAAAAGAACACAGAACGATCTGACCATCACAACAGGTCCAGCCTTTCCTTCTGGAAGCCCAGTCATGTAAGTGATGTAAACCTCAGCAATCCAGCCCAAATCAAAGGGACCCCAACCAAAACAACTTCCACCAAATTCAGAGGATGTGAGAAGTAAAAACTGTTTAAAAGTCACTAAAATTTGTCAACGATTTCTTATGAAGCAAAGACAATAAATACAGGTGATATGGGGGAAATTGTGGCTGGCACAGGAGAAAAGACAGTAGAATATGACCTCAAAGGTGTCTACATCCTCATTTTCAAGCCTGATCCATACATTATTTTATGCCCAGAATAGCCAGATCACTAATGAGGTTAAGATTGCCAACCAGCTAACTTTAAAATAAATAAACTATCCGGGATCATCCAGATGGGCCCAGAAAGATTTGTTCATTGTAGCAAAGGGAGGTAAAGATGTGAGTCTGAGGGAGGCAAAGATTCTGTTCTGCTGGATTTGAAGGATAAAGAAGGGGCAACCTCTCGAAGATAAAGACTATGGAGTAGGACTCAGAGCCACGCGGCCCATCCAACTCCTTGGACTCAGCCCAGTTAAGATTCATTTTCAGGTACTGACCTCCATTAGGTAAGATAGCAAACTAGTGGTATTTTAAACCGTTAAAGTTGGGGTAATTTGTTAGACCAGTAATAAGAAACCAAAAGAGAGATTAAGTACTAAGTCTTTTACATGCTCTGAGTCTTCTTGGGGGCAATTACAGTTTTAAAGCCAGGGAAATGACCGGTCTGATGAAAGATAGACCTTCAGGGTAAAGCCAACAGGGAGATATTACAGGATCTGGCAAAGGCACAAGCAAACAAATAATAAGCAGCTTATCTGAAGGAGTAGTGTGCTGACGGCCGTGTAATTTCAGTGGTAAAATAAATTATCAGGACTCAGGATTCAATTGAACGTAGCCCACAAGAAGAATGGGAAATATTCAGAACTATCCCTCAGTTTCTGTCCGGGGTAAATGTTGAGGCTGCCACTGAAACAGTGTATTGAAGGAAAATGAGCCCTTTTGTTTTGTTGCGCTCTTGTGAAGGAGTGTGAGACAATCACGTAGAAAAAGGCTGGGCGCTAAGACCCCTGAACACCGCCCAGAGGAAAAGCAGCGGTGACCAGAGCAGTCCCTGGACCCCTGTGACAGCTGACAAGGGTGTCTGTCCCAAGGCTGTGATGGGGCCTGAAGGCATCCAAGGGGTTGCTGAACTCTTCAGGGAGGCAGGAATTAGTTCTGTGTAGTCCAGAAATAGCAGCTGGGAAGCCCGACCCCACGCAGGCCTCATCAGCCCTGTGAAGAGGGGAACCAAGCTTGAATCCGAGGCTCCAAGAGGCTGGGGCCTCGCAGGGGCCTGAAAGAAAATAAAGGGGGCTGGGGGAGGCGGATAAAGTGGGGGGAGGGTAGCCAGGCCTCGAGGCAGAGAGGGCCAGAGGAGGCTGGCAGAGGGGACAGCGGACCCGGCGTGGGCGCAGGCGGTGCCCCAGGGAGCCTCGATGTCCCGGGGAGCCCCCCACCCACCCTCCCACCCCAGCAGGGAGTGAAGCTGGGCCCCTGCTGGCCACCCCAGAGGGGTTGGGGTGGGGCTGCCCGCGTTCTGCCTGGAACGCGGAGCGTCCTCGCGGGCTGTGGCCAGTGGGGTCCTGGCAGGCGACGAGAGGGGGCGCAGCGGGGACGAGGGCGACGCCGGCCGCATGGAGCTGTACCTGGGCACCTGCGCCAAGGTCGCCCGCGGCGCCGCCTCCAAGACGGCAACCGGCGCTCTGACCTCCGACAGCAGGCAGTGCGGAGATGTGAGCGGGAGCTGGGGGACATGGTCTCGGCGAAGCTGGGGCTTGGGGGTATGGGGTTTGAGGTCACGGATTTTGGGAGACACTGAGGCTTGCGGTCATAGGGTTAGGGGTCATGGGGCTTAGGGGGATCCTGAGACAGGGGTCACCGGGTTTGGGGGTACCCTGGGACTTGGGGTCATCGGTTTTAGGGGACCCTGGAGTTGGGGTCACGGGGCTTGGGGGTCACAGGTGCCGGCAGCGCCTGGTTAAGTGGGCTCTCTCTGGGTGGCTGGAGCGAGTGAGGAGGCCTGGTCTCCAGTGAAACTCCCGGAGACACCCCTCTGATTCTGTCCTACAGGGGGCACACAAAACCCCCTTTGCCGAAGTGGGGGCGGCTCATCTCCTGGATCTGCCTCTGGGGGTGAAGCTGCCTGTGATCCCCGGAACTGACCCTCGGTTCTTCACCACGAATCTAAGCGAAAAGGTAACCTGGTCGCCAAGGTTCCCACATTAGTTTGGGTGGTGACAACATCCGAATGCTATGGATGGAGTTTGACAAATTCCTGGGGGCACGGTGAAAGCCTCCTCTACCCCAGGCTTTTGTTTGAGAAGGTGTAAGAAGAAATTTTATCGAGTTTGAATCCCTTAGTCTTGCCCTAATTTATAATTATGGAAGCACATTAATGTTTCAAATAATAAAATCTCATACATACCTATGTAGTGAGTTTTGGTTTGCTTAGAAATATATTTGACTGAAAAGTGAAAGGCTATTCAAGTGGCATTTAAGTGGGTGTTACGATTTTAACAATAGTAACGTGAACAGCACTCTATAAAACATATTATTATGTTCTGAGCTAAATATTATTTCATATGTGAGGCTTTAAAAAAAGAGTAGAGTTGGAATGATTTCCTAAAGCTAGAGTAACTTAATGGAAGACTTTGTAGCCTGTGTACGAGAGGGCGCACAGCCCCATGATTTTCCCCAAACTCTTTCCAGTCTTTATCCAAAATAGCCTTAATTTCTTCTGGATGATGTCTGTTAACACTCACACATCCATTACATGCCAATGCTTTTGTTCTTCGGCCAACCTTGTCCCCAAACCTGCACTGCCCTTTTTTCTTCAACCCAACTGAGGAATTGGAATTATTCGTCAAGATTCTTTGTGAACTCTCACAGCCTACGGGGAGCTTATCTCTGCTTAGAATCAAGTCTGGGGTTTGAATGTTCTAACTCAACATTTAATTATACTGTAGGATGATGGCTTCTTCCCTTAAACCTTCTCATGTCTTAATCGTCAGCCCTCTTCCATCCCCACAACTTGAGTAAGAACAGATTTTGGAGTTTAGGTTCTTGAGTGGTTATTTGGTTTAGTATCATTAAAATGTTCTACAAGAATGTACTTATACTTGCTTAATTTCTTAGTCAGTTTGGGCTGACAAAGCACAGTGAGTACTTTAAAAACGCCAAGAATTTATTATTATTATGGATGCTGGAAGGCTGACGTGTTGGTGGCACCATGGTTGAGTTCTGGCTAGGGCCTCTGTAATCCCTACATAGCAGAAGGACAGCTGTCACGCTCACTGAGGGCTGTTATAAGGGCGTAGATCTCACTCTGGAGGGCTCAACCCTCACGGCTTAGTGTCTTCCCTGAGCTCCACCTCTCAAAGTCACACATTAGAATTTAAGACTGCTGCAAGGGAATTTTAGGGGAGCGTATTCAATCTATAATATGTAGCAAACACGATTTCTTAAAATATGCATCCTTTCTGAAAAATATTAGAATTTAAGGTTTTCAAAGTTAATCTGTTCAAAAATAGAGCAAGCTAAGTTACAGTAATTCTGGCACTCTATTGTGCAGTAGAATGACTAGCTAACAACATTGTAGCTTTCTTTTCCTTTTGTCTAAAAGATTTAGAAGAAAGCATTTTGAATGTTTGCAACATAAAGCAATAGTACATACTGTGGAGATCCATATGTTCACCCTGACTTGAACACTATGCAATCTATTTTTGTGATTACATATGAATTTTATGTATCAGTTAAAAAATAAGGCAATGTAAAAGAATTTAAGCCACATCTACATAAATCAGTTTTCCTAAAATGTGCTTGAAATTTATTGTATTACTAGTGGTTAATGATACACATTAGTATACAAATTTAGTTTTGTCGTTTGTCTGCATTTATTATGCTAATTCACATATACGAAGTATATTAATAATTTTTTAAAGTCTTTAAAACTAGACAGGATGTTTATCTCAGGACTGAGGTAGCTTGTTTGCTTTAAGAATTGAGGTCTAGTCCCGCCTACACACATTTGATCAATTTCCTAGCTTCCATGGCTCCCAACATATCCACTTGTCTTGTTTTGTCAGAGATGTGTGTCCCTTTACAGTTAGACAAGCTGTATTTGGGAAGTCTTTAAAGGACCTTTTCATACTGGATGCCAGTGCAAAGAATATAGGTACTTGATTTTAGGAAAATAACCCAATAAAGACCAACAGACCATAACAGTAGTGAGTTATCAGCACAACTAGCAATTTTCAGAAGTTGACTTGAGCCTTTTATAATTCAATATATTAATATAGCTTTATTTTTTATACCTCGTGGTTACACTGTTCTGCTGGATGCTTAAGACCAAGTAAAAGCAAGACCTATATAACTAAAAATGCAACTTTTGTTATCTGACAAGATCAGTCAATTCCCCTCAGTGTTTACCCTGGAACTATGTACTTTCTCTTAGTTCATTGAGAAGAAAGGTTTGTAGTAATATTGTTTAGACAAGATATCATGTCTGCATTTTGTCCTCTGAATAACTACTATGAAGACAATTACATGCAATGTATTACTTATTGTAACTGTCCTACTAACCTATTTTGAAACTGTTTCATTGCTATTTTATCTTTTTCCTCATTAAAATGAGTAAAGAAAAAAAATTTTGAAAGTTTTTTAAATTTCTTCTCTGTATTCCTTATTACATTAATTCTCCCAAAATATCTCCCTTTCATTATACTTAGGTACACACATAGTCCCCTAATCTCCAAAGGCCAACTTTGTGAGATTATTCTTTTCTCAATGTGATCTATTTGATGAAGTAATACTTTATTATTGTTTGAATGTCTTAATCACGTCCAATTATTCACCTTAATAATCGAAGGGTTACCCTAATTGTAATAAGTGGATTTGTTAAGAAGTGTTCTATTCGCAGGGCAAGTAATCTAGTTTCATCTTAAGAACTGTGTGCTTGTTAAAATACAACATCTAAACCATTTTGATAGATAAGTATCACTGTCTAAAAGAGAAAATTAATTCCCTTCCTGACTTATAATTTTTCCCCCAGGGAGATGTTGGCTTCATACTCAGCTCCACTGAATTCAAGTGTTCATGCTGTAGAATTCTTTTCTTTGCTTTCCTGGGGATCCATTTGGTGATCAGGGAGTCTAGATTTCTGATTAGGCTGTTTGGAAAGGATTAAAGGTTGGCATTAGATGGAAGATCAGAGATTTACAAAGAGCCATTTGAATGTCAAGGTAGAGCTATCTGACAGAGCCATACTCCCTGCTTTCTGGGAGTTATTTGCAAGCTTCCATCCAGTCAATGTCCTGAGTTTTCAGAATTGGAATGAAGTTGCCGCTGTAGTCAGAGTGCATACAGCAGTCACAAATGCTCTTGCAGTTGTAAGCAGACTAGCACACAAAGGTGAGTGTTGGCATGAATTGTGTTGGACGCTTGCAAACAGGAGACTTTATTCTGGTTTTCCAGAACTTCCGCATATTTGAATTACTGTTGACCTAGTTCTTAGCATTGCTTTAGACCAAAGCTTGTGTTTATGTGGGCAAAACTTAAAACAAAAAGAATACAAAGACAACATTGACATGTTCTTTTAAATTACTTGGATTGAAATAAGGTATTAAAAGTTGGAAAGGTCAGCAAGACAGCACAGTGGACTAAGCACTTTCTCAGGTAAGTGCAAGGGCCAGGGCCTAATCCCTGGCACCGCATGCCATCCCAGCCCTGCTGCAGGGCACACTGAGCCAGCGATGGAGTCTGGGCATGGTGGTGCACCCCTGTAATCTCAGCACTCGGGAGGCAGAAAACAGGTCACTAGGAGTCCAAGCTGTGTAGTGAGACCCTGCATACACACACACACACACACACACAGAGGCACACACACACAGAAACACACACACAAGAAAAAAACTGAAAGTTGGAAATTTACTTCCATTTTCCACTTTCCCCTTCAAAATGAAATCTTTTTTTTTTTTTTTTTTCAGTACCAGGGCTTGAACTCAGAACCTTGCACTTGCCAGGCAAACGCTTAGTCTACTGAGCTATCTCTCCAGCTCATTTGCCATTTACTTTTGAAAAATTAACTAAGAGTGCATCCCCAAAATTTCCTTTGGGAATGTTTCACTCCTTAAAACAGACAAAATAAGTCAGACTTTTCCTCTAAAGTAAAAGAAAAAAACACCTGACAACTGATTATCTTTTTCTCCTTTCATAAAATTTTGTAAGGTTTTATTTGACTCTTACACATATGAAGAAACCTGGCTTCTTATAAATAAGCTTTAAAATAGGTTCCCTAGATGAGATAAATTATAGAAGAAACCTTGAATTTTTTGTGACTTTAGCAATCAGAAAACACTACCTTTCCTTAAACACCTCAAGATACAATGACTCTCTAAATTTAATATTTAATATTTAAGGTTTGCTCATTGTTTTTTCAGCTAGTATCATTTTATTATAGTGATTTCATATTCTTTTTATTTTAGATGATCGAAATATTATAATTAACACCATTCTTCAGTTTCTGCACGTGGGCCCTTGATTTGGGCGAGGGAACAGAAAAGACAGGGTCCGAGCATTAGTTTCCACCTTGAGCAACTTATCCGCAGCTCCCTTTCTTTTCTGTTCCCATTGTCTTTGTAGCGTCTGGGCCAGAGGCTGATGTGAGTCATGTGAAGAGATTACCCAGTGAGGCTGAGTCTCTGGAATCATTCATACAAATGAGCAGAAGTAAACGGGAAAGGCAGTTACTTGCTCAAAGTAAATTTTCCTGTTGGTGGTTTTCCCAGTTCAGGTTCTTCCCACGTGTGTTACTTTCTGCCCTCTGCTATGGGTTATGCAGAAATAAGAATGCCTTACTTTTGCATTGGTAACATCGCTGATTCTGTGTTTGCAGCTTTTTCGACCTTCCTATGGTTTTAACTTGACAGACCCTTATTGTCGACTTCTGGAAAACCAATATAAAAGTCTGCACGATCCACATTTAAAAGCATATTATCGACGCAAAGATGTTCTGAGGAGACTGAAGAAAGGTGGCTATGTCACCAACAATAATAAGGTGGGTTGAAGATGACTTTTCTTCAAATAAAAGTCTTCTCACTTTGGTGTACATCTGCTCCTATAGCTCAGTGAAGGCCCACAGTCACCTTCACCTTGATTGTGGGAGGATAATTCACACTCAGATCCACGACACACTCAGAATTTTGGTCAAAGGAAATCTGACAACAGCTGTTTGTAAATGAAATAGCTTTTTTCTTTTTTCTTAATAAAATCAAAAGATTATTGATGAACAATTTGATGATGTACAGATATAGTAATGGTTAGTTATAGCTTTCTTTCTGTCTCCAAAGGGACTGAGTACTTGTCTTGTATATAAATATATACAGATATGAATTAATGTGTGATTATTATTACATATTATTATATATTAAATTGTGAAATGCAATATGGGTATAGAAAACTTTAGTTTGTAAGAATCTTGATGAAATAATTTTTACTGGAGTTAACATCATCCCATTTACAATTACAACTGCACTATAATTAATAGCCATTATTATTACTTTAATCATATTTATTTTGATAATATTTGATAAGAATGGCACCTAATTGAGAGTATTTTTCTTTAAACCATAGGTGATATTATTAAAATAATATTTCTGGGCTGAAATTTATTATTGATTAACAGATGTGAAGAGATAGTACCTATTAATTCACCAGCAGTTTATTACTTGATAACAAAATGTCATTCAATTATACATCAAAACTAATTTTTCCTCTGGATAATTGTTGCTGACACTGTTACGTATTTACATAGTTATGACATCTATATATTTTTCTTTTTACTTACAGATTGTGTGTAGCTTAAGGGAACTGAATAAGTACAGGCAGTATCTCACCAACTTAAAATTAGACTTTGAAAGGAACTATGTAAGAGAACAAGTAAGTTCAGCACTTAATTTTGGTTTACATCAGTTGGAAGAATAGTTTGGAAGAATAGTTTGTAAAATATTGTCTTATAATATTGTGATCTTATTGACAGAGTAAATAAATATTTTTCTAAATGAAAACTTACAGCAAGAATAAGCAACATCTTGGAGGTTACTATATTTGAACAAGAAAGGGAAGGAAAAGTCAATGTTACTACACCATCAGTAGTTGTGAGATAATTTGGTAATTAAGTGGCCGGGCAAATGCATTAATTCTACCTGAGTTGTGACCAATAAAAAGTGTCTATTGTGACATCAGAATTCTACAGCTGGAACCCAAAGCAGTTAAAGCAATAGAAGGAACTATGAGTATCGGTGCTGTCCTACAAGTGTCTCCTAGTCCTGTACACCATGTCCTTGTACCCCCCACACACACACACACTTGTATTTATCTAGCTGAAAATGTTCTCTTTAAAAGTGAATTGTATTTTTTGGGTGCAAATTGAGTGACAGTGATTTCCTTTTGATTTTTGATTTGGAGTTGTATGTGGGGTGTGTACGCATAAACGTGTATGTGAGTGTGAACTCAGCATCAGGACAGGAGAGTTCAAACTGAGGAAAGACTGACCTTACATTTTTATATTCTAAAATTAATAGAGTAGCATAAAAATAATAACCTCACTGTATTTTTCTTTTCTTTCTTTTTTTTTTGTTTTTTGTTTTGCAGTACTGGGGATTGAACTCAGGACCTTGCGCTTGCTATATAAGCGCTTATTCTACCAAGCTATCTCCCTGACCCCTCACTGTATTTTTCACTGTGTGGTCTTCCCTCTTTTTTCTTTGCTTAGACATTTTCCTTTATATTTTGATACTTGTATGTATTTTAGAGGAGAAATATATATATTTTTATTTTCAGATAGAAAAATCTTTATTTTGGTTTTATTATGTCTCTAAAGAATAGATTTAAATGTTGTTGAAGAATTCATCATTAATAAAATGTAGGGGGTTTAGTGGGTTTATTCCTGCAAAGTGCAAAAAATATTAAATATTTATATTGCACATATTTTTATAAATAGAAAATGCTTGCCAAACAGCTACAGAAATTGGATGAAACCAACACGTTACCTGAATGTTTCGATGTCGCACAGTTCCAGCACTGGTTGCTGCGTGAGGGCACGCAATCAATTAAGGACCAGGAGCGGTTAATAAGGCACAGGTAAGAGCCGAGTCAGGGTGCATTTCATACCTATGTAATGACTCATATGAACTGGACATACGGGAAAGATCTAGGCAGGACACTTTCCCTGTAGCCCGCAGTGTGGCATGAAGCAAGGAAGACCAAGAGGAACAGGAATTGGGAAACCTATAACCAAGCCAAGACTATACCCAGAAGTTTTGACCACAGACATCGAGCCTTTTGAGAACACAGGATATATTGCGCATACATAATTGAAGGGAAAACCTAACTTAAAATTCTACAAAAAAAAAAAAAGAAAGAAAAAATTTCAACCCATGCAGCAAATAACAAAAATCTTTTGTGATCCGTTTTTAAGGACTGACAGCATTAAATCTGAAGAAAATAGAGTGAGAGATTGTGATCCATTATCTGACTTATATTTTATCGTTTCATTTCATGGAGGTGCCTTAGGATGTATTGATATGACAGAGACCCCCAACAGTAGATGAAAGATTTATGCAGAGACTTATAGATTTTAAGGAAATTAGTACTCGGTTTGTTTTCAGAAACTTCAAGACTATTGTACTCTGTTGTGTTTAAAGTCATTGCTTCAATTTTATTAGCTTTCTTTGCAAATCAGTGCTTCTAAATCTACTGAGTTATGAATACTTACTCAACAAAATGCTTGTGATAGCTTGTTCCAGGCTGCATCATTGCCTTGGTAACTAATATACATGTAATAGGAAGATTTTAAAAATGTGTAACAGTTTGTGACTCAGACTGGCTTGAAGGCCCATTAGCAGGACTGACAGAAAGAATTCTTGTATTTCAAAAATTTAAGTCGAAAAAAGAGATAGAGAATCTTAGAAGGTGTGCTATAATGAGGGAAACAGCTGATTCAGCCTCAGTGACATTTTCATTCTTACTCAGATATTTGGATATGATAAGTAAAGGATTAGAACAGTCTGAGCGTGCAGCAGAAGAGCAACGCCTCCTCCGGATGGACCGAGAGGAGAGAAGACAGCGGGATCACTTGCGACGAAAGCTTACTCTTCGGAGAAAAATTGAAGAGGTGAGAAGTAACATATTTAAAACATGGGGAGAATTTTTGTGTATAAATTTTTCCATTTATAGATGATTTCACTATCAGATTGAAGTAATTTCATTCTAAATAATTTAGATGCATTTGCCTTACTTTCCTGTCATTACTGGAACAAAATACCCAGCACTCAAGCTAAAGGAGGAAAGGTTTATTTAGCTTCTAGATTGCAGAGGTTTCAGTCCATACTCAACTAGCTCCAAGGCAGGGTGACACATGGCAGAGGGGCAACAGTGCATGGCTGTGGAAGACAGCAAAAGCAGCAGAAGGAACGAGCCTCGTGCTGTCCCTTCCATTGTACACAGGCTACTTGCCCTAAGGCAGGTGTAGCACTCACCCTTAATCCTAGCATTAGACCATGAGTTAACCACAAGCTCCAGTTTCAGCCACCTCTGAAAAGCCTGCCTCCAATGACTGCAGAAGGCTTTGGGGAACATCCAGATATAAGCCATAACACCATTACACTTTCTTCACACTTATGCAATACAAGTTATTACATAAAATAATGAGGTGAATGCAATAAACTATATGTGACTATGTATGTGTCAACCCCACTTTAAAAAAGCAGTGTGAGAAAGTTACTGGACTTTATTTAAGTGCCATGTAAACCCTCAACTTGTAGAGGAAATATTTAAAATTTAGGCAAATGCAGAGACTCAGGTTCAACCCCGGCACCACATGCAGTGCCGGCCCCAACCCCAGGCCCACTGAGCCAGTCATGGAGACTAGGCGTGGTGGTGCACATCTGTAATCCCAGCTCTGAGGAAGCTGAAAGAAGGAGGATCACTGTAAGTCTGAGCTGCATAGGGAGACCCTGTACCAAATACATTTTTTTAAAAGGTAAAAATAAAAATTTAATTTAATAAAGATAATCATACTTCCTTCCCAATGAGAGTATAGTGAGGGAAGCCCATTCTAAAACAGATGCATTTGATGACGTAGAGTGAGCCTAAGGAGAGTCACATGGGGAGAAAACACTCTCTCAGGCTTTCACAGAGAGCACATTGGCCAAGCAATGGCTGGGACTCATCCACATGGCTGCACTGACAAAGGTTCTACAATCTGAGGTATAGGATCTCAGGATAAATCCTGAGGGGATTTCACTGACCTTTTCAGACCCAAAAGCTACAACTCTTGTTGCACAGGTCCTGCTTTACCTTGGTCTTAACCATCCAGTAGAAAAGTATGAAGACGAAATATAGGAAGTAAAGCCATGCTGTTAGGTTGAGCTGTGGGGGACTCAGGTCAATAATTTCTGACATTGCCAGTTAAACAGAAGACCCAATGCTATTATGGGCTACTGGACTCTTTTAGAATATTTTGCTGAGTTTACACACCTATAATATTCAATAACGGAACTTAGAAAAAATGGGGTATACAGATGAATGTCCATTTTGTATCTGTATTTAAAGTGGTTAGGATGGATATATAGTTGCATTCTCTTAATGAATAGAATGATTTGTTCTAATGGTGTTTATAAATAGAATCTCAAGTCCGCATCTTGTACAGCAATTAACCACTAAGAAGAATATATGCAGTGTGTTATTTGTTGAAAAAGAAACACACACAAAAAAAATAAAAATAAAAAGTTTGTACCATTAAAAAATAAAATAAATTTAAAAAATAAAATAAAGTAAAACAGATGCTTTCCTTCATTATGCTTGAGCAGCTTTAGTGAAGACCCCGACTTGCCTAACTTTCCTGTTGGGACAAAATGCAAAGGTATCATAGGTAGGGAACACATACTGAGTGTAACAACACTGTGCACTGCAGGAATGGAAGACGAGGGAGATGTTCCTTCTGACAAAGATCGCAGAAGACGTGAAAAGAGAACAGAAGCTAGAAGGGCAGCGGCAGAAAAGCAGAGAAGAGAGGAACAGAAAGGTAGGGTGACTTTAACTTCTCCTTGGCCCGTTGGAAGAGAAACTTTTGCTCATTCAGTTTTTCAAACTAAAAAAATCGCTTCTTATTAGGGATATGCAGTAGTGTCCTAAATGGTGTGCATTTTACAAAACTAAAACTTACTACTTTTTTAAACATGCATCTCACTGTGTTGCCCAGGCTGGCAGAACACCTAGCTGTGAACAGCTTTGCTGTATTTTGAGTGCTGAGTATTCTGCGAAATGAGAAGAACTGCCTTATTATTCGATGCAACTACTTTGAGCTTGATCTTTACACCACGTTATGCTTCCAGTTCTTATGAAAATTCACCAATTGGTTGTTTTTCTGAGAATCAGAAATTATTGGTAAAAGTTCTTTCTTTTTTCCCATGACATAATGTTTTTAAAAGAAAAGTTTTAGATATATGCTATTTCAATATACATGTGTTTTATTTATGAGTAAATCAGACTAATCAAAATTCCTGAAATCCCACCACATCTCTAATATATACATTCATAAATAATATTTCTATGATTATTCAATCCAAGAATTAAATAAATGAAGATTATTTTGTAGACTGCCTTTGCTCAAAGTATCATTAACAACTTTCTATGAAAATAAATGTTGAGCTAAAATTCTAAATAGCAATTTAGTTAATTTGTTCTTGACAAATCTAGGTAAGGTAAAGTATAAGATTGACCTAGTTCAGTTTGTATTGCAATGAGAAATATAAAATGTTTTTAAATATTGGAAATGGAAATACGGATTCATCTTTCATTCTGTTACATATACCTTTAGTATTATGACAGCCTTCCTTCTCATTTGATAGACTCAATTTATCCTAAATTAATGTAATTAATTGTCTAATATTCACTGTTTTCTAATGCAAAAAGCTCACCAAGTTGGTCTCTTTGTTTTGCTACCAGACATATCACAGCATTTTTATTTTTTGAGAGCGATACAGTACTCTGATTCCACTTCACTTTTTGCCTGATCTCAATTTCTACTCAAGAAGTCATGTTTGGTTTCAGTGGAGACCACTGTGATGTAGGAAAGTCTGGCCAGGGCTGGGGATGCGTGAGACGCAGCTACTGGTTGTCCAAATGGAGACAGCATGGGCTGCCCGAGTGCAGTGTTAGCAGAGTTGCAAGCACTCAAATGTCCCATGGACTTACTCTGTCACTAGTTTTTTAGACTCTTGTTTTCATATAAAACCTCTTCAGCTCATTTGTGTTGTTTTAATATTTCTATTGTATCTTACATTTAGCATTAGATATAAAAATCTCCAGATTATGTGCTTATGTTGCAGAGTTACCAAAAGTTTTGAATCTTTCACTTAATGTTTATCGAATATAGTTTGTGAGTTGACTTTTGGATTCTTTCCTGTTCTTTAACCTGTTGTCTATGATTCTTTCTTGATTTTGTTCCCTTAGTTTTTTGTCAAATCAGTCATGTTAGTTTTATGTGTTCATTCTTCTATTTAAATTGTTTTGGCTAATCTAAATTTAGCAAATTGTCATGTATTTGAGAATTCACCTATCAGTGTTTTTAGAAAAACAAAACACCATGCTGGAATTTTCACTGACCTTCTGTTAACCTTGTAGCTCATGTTGGGCACAAGTAACCTTCTGATAATACTAAATGTTTTCTCCTGAATCAGATGCTATCTGTTCATTTATTTAGGTTTTCTTGATTGCACTTTCCAATATAATGTAATTCTCAGTGCATTTCTCAGGCTTTTCTTAGGCTTTACATAATTTTATGCTATTGTACTTAGTATTTTGTAATTTCAATTTTTGAGTACTTGATATGCAAAGTATATGGAAAAGTAACTCATATATATTCATTTATGTTACATTTTATATTTTTAAAATCAATTAGGCCCAGTAGTTTATATTTTTCTACATGGAAACTGATATTCTACATAGATTGTCTTGTTCTCAAACAGTATGAGTGGGGTTTTTTTATACACTTATGTGATTGAAATCTGTAGTATAGTGTTGGATAAAAGGATTAGCTATCTTTGCTTTGTTAGACCTCAAAAAAAAGCATTGGGTTTATTAACATTTATGCTAAGGCCAACTGAATTTTTTTACAGATTCTTTTCATCAGGCTGAGGAAATTCTCTCCTATTCCTAGTCTCCTGAGAAACTTTATCAGGAATGAATACATTTAGGATAAGCAGACAACATTGCATATGTAAAACACTATATTGAATTTGCCAAAAATTCACTTAGAATTTTGCAAAGCAGATGTTGCTGTGTGATTTTCTTCTCATGTAATGTCTTGGTCTTCTTGGAATCAAGACAGTGGTGTCTTCATGCAAGTTAGTGTGAATTACTGGACCACGTTTCTTAAAGTATTTGTGTTTTCATTTTGATTCTTTTTTTTGTAATTTCTTATATAAAATTTTTGGGTCCGGGGAGATGGCTCAGTAGAATAAGCTCTTCCCTGGCAAGCACAGGGGTCTGAGTTCAATCTCCGGTTCTGAAAAAAAAAAAAAATTATTCATGAAACATTTGGTTCTAGAATTTTCCTGATATGAAGTTTTTAAATTTCAGTTTCTTTCATTTATGTTTATTTAGACTGTTATTCAGTTTTAAAAGAGCTTTGACAGTTTATATATTTTAGAGAATTTTTTTCCCTTTCAGGAAAATTTTATAACTTACACACAGAGCTCCCAGTTATCCTTTATTATCCTTTGGGGCTACAGCTACTCTAGTGATGGCATATTATCTAACTACAAACATCAATAATTTATGACTTGCTTTTCTTTACCCGCTTCTTTATGAGCTGGAGTGGCTTTGTTTTCTTTATTTCATTTTTACTGTCTTTTTTAAACTGCCACGATTTAGTTTTTGTCCTTATTTCTTCCCTTTTTCATTGATTTCTGTTCTGATATTTACATACATTTTTCTTTATAATAAGCTTATTTATTTATTTATTTTTATTTAGTACAGAGTCTACAGGGTCTCACTACACAGTTTGGACTCAGAGTGATCCTCCTGCTTTTAGCCTCCCAAGCCCTGGGGTTATAAGTTGTGCGTCTCTACGCCCAGTCTCAGTTGCTGTCTCCACAGGCTCAGGGGTGGGGCCAGCATGGCTCACCGGGGATTAAACCCCAGTCCTTTCATCTGCCTAAGCAGGCACT